CGAACTCCTGGTCCTCCTCATCATCCTGGTAGGATAGGCTGCGTCCCTGCCAAATGTGATTCCAGTAGTCCATCTGGCTGTCCGCCACAGCCTGAGGGAGCGAAGTCTTGATTCCAAACCTGTCGACGTCCTGGTGAGACCACCCCTTCAGCTTGGTCATTGCGAACAGGGGTGCTGGTCCTGTGACCAGTGCATCCTTGGCCCATTTGCGGAAGGCCTGAGAGCGAGCTCGCGCCGCCCTATCCCCAAGGATGCCAGCATGTGATTCCAGGAGGCCCGCATATGCTTGCAACATCACCTCGTAGGCCACACCTCCATGAGAACATGCCTGGTGTATGACAATCCAGGCCCAGTCGAGCATGGTGTGACCTTCCGTAGTGTGAACATCTTGTCGATGTCCAGGCCTGAGGACTCGGCCAACCCGCGCCCATCTTGTCTTGACTGGACGCGTAAGATGATCCTGCATGAGAAGGTCCTTCACTGCCGTTGCGACTGCACGCATATGTCGTGGTTCCGACCCTGCCGCAGGATGTCCGCCTCTGGCAGGGCCTCCGACAGGTCGACGAACATAGGCTGGACCATCAGCTCTCCTACAACGATGATGAGGCTCACCCACTTGATAGATGTGGCAGAGGTCCTTCTCCACATCTTGCAGCATGCCCTTGTAGAGCCCGTCCAGCCTCTGCTGAGCCTCTTCCGCATCTGCAGGCAGTCCCAGCTGAGCATCCTCCTGCACTCGAGCAAGATAGTCTCGTTCAGGTGGTGGCCCCTCCAAAGGGTGGCAGCCTGCATGTGCAGGGTGCGCCCGAGGGAAACGCTTGGGCCCTGTCAGGGTGATCTGCATGTGGCGCCTCGGCTGAGCGGCCAGATCGAAGCGCACTGGGTGATGAGGTCTGGCTGGCCACTTCTCCACCAGACGTGGCCTCTCGCATGCCTTCACCATATCCGCAGAGACCATCCAGTAGTCGATCATGCTGTAGTGGCCTTTCGCACTGCGACACGTTCCCTCACAACGTGCTGGCGTGACGATGGCGGCTGACAGCATGTCTAAAAGACCCATGGACTCCAATTCGTGTGGTGGTGCATTCCAGTCACCCGCGACAATGAATGGCACAGCAAAATGACGCAAGCACGCACCCAGTCTCAAGAACCTGTGGTAGTTCGCACTCACATAATTGCTCAAAACCGACGGACTCCATGTAAACCGACCCGATGACCAGCCCTCCTGGGAACCCTGTCTGCACGTGCAGCGCCATGGCCCAAGCTGGTGATATGCTAAAGCCCTCCATGGTAGGGCAGCCTGATAACATAGTGACGGAGATATGCTATCGCACGAAAATCCCTACCCCAGCCGAGGGCTTCTTTGATTGTAATCTCCTGCATGGTGAAATGCACGGCTTCCATCCGTGTCTCAATGCCCACGTCTGAGCTCGATCCACAGCTTCACCGTCTAGTCTAAGCTCCTGCGCACACACGACTTGAGCATCCCCCACACCTTCAAGCAAAAATTGCTGCATAGTACTCCAGCAAGACCCATTGAAGGTGATCACGCCCATGCCGTGCCTGCGTGCTCCCCGCGGTGCTCGTCTACGCATTCTGCCAAGCCTGCGGGGTGTCCATCTCCATGCGCGCGTCTGGCACAGCTGAGATGCCTGGCGCTCGGATTCGTGCGGCTGTGGCGGTGACAACTGGTGGTGCGTCCTGAGGCGCTGCGGTAGTGTCCGCGCCTGAGGTACGAAAAGCGGCCCCGACCGCACCTCTCCCTCCAGTTGTCTCCCCACTGCCTCCTTGAACTGCGGGCAAGAGTGCACCCAGCTGCTGAATGTTGGAAACCAGCGAGTCCAGTAGCTGAGCTCCCACCTGCTCCCTCGATTGGCCGAGCTGCACCGACTGCTGGGCGCTGAGGATGGACGTCTGAAGGCTCTGCACCGCCGCTGCCACATTGGCGATGCCCTGTCCTCCATCCGTTGGCTGTGATGCTGGGGCCATGGCCAGCTTTGCCTTGGCCACGTCCGCCTGGACGATCGTGATGTCCCTGGCGACAACCTCGAGCTTGGCCTTGGCGTCGCCCAGCTTGGACTCCATCTCGGTGATCTGCTGGACGAGCTTGTCTTTCTCCGCCTCTTTGGACCCCAGCCTGTCCATGGCACATCGCAGGGCTTCTTCAGGTGGCATGGCGTCACGCTCCTGTCGCTCAGCTTGTGCCAGGGCAGCGATTGCCAACTGCATGACCTCATTGGAGTCGTCATAGTGGAGGCGCCGCAAGGACTGGACAGCCTTTCGGCACCGCGCCACCTCTGACCCTGCAGAGGAAAGACCGCCAGCTGCATCAGGACCACGATCACGACCAGGAAGATCGCGGGTCCCCCTCGACGGCGGCCGTGGACGGCTGGTGTCGCGCCGACCATCTCTGGTGCGCCCACACTTCCAGCACGTGCTTCTTGTGGCATAGTTGTTCTTGAAACCGCACTGCTTGGACGCTTTGCAAGCCCATGACCCGTTGGCCTGCTGCGGCATCTGCCTCCAAGGCGGGGTCGCCGACGCCGCTGCGTCACGGCCAGCTGCAGCGCCCGCTCCAGAAGCACCCGAGGCCTGCATGGCCCAGTGCTCGCCGTGGTGCCGCCTCAGGAGCCTCCGCGCCGCGTCGAGCCTGAGCTCGCGGCGGGCGGTGGCTCTCGCCCGACGGGCTCGCCTGTGCCAGGCAGGTGAGCGACTCCTGGATCTCGCCCCAGGAATCGCGGCGGCAGTGCACCAGCGCCCGATGCACGGGCCGCTGGCTGGGGCCAGTTGGCCGCGCCCAACCCCTCGCCCCAGCGGGGGGGGGCACGGAGCCCAAATGGCAGCCTACTGCTACTACTACTACTACTACTACTACTACTACTACTACTACTACTACTACTACGACGACGACGACGACGACGACGACGACGACGACGACGACGACGACGACGACGACGACGACGACGACGACGACGACGACGACGACGACTACTACTACTACTACTACTACTACTACTACTACTACTACTACTACTACTACTACTACTACTACTACTACTACTACTACTACTACTACTACTACTACTACTACTACTACGACTACTACTATTACTACTACCACTACTACTACTACTGCTGCTGCTGCTGCTTCTGCTGCTGCTGCTGCTAAGTATACGACTTCTGCTACTGCTACTGCTACTGCTACTGCTACTCCTACTGCTACTGCTAGTGCTAGTGCTTGCGCACTGCCGCCGGACCCCAGGCTTTGCGGTGCTCGTGCGCGCTGTGTTCACACGTGTCGTGGTGTTCACAAGCGTTGTGTTGTTTTCTGGCTGTGTAGTTTGCACAGGCGATGTGGTATTCACAGGTGCTGTGGTGTTCGCATGCGCTGTGTTCACGGGCGCTTTGATGTTCACAGGCGTCCGTTGTGGTGTTCACAGACGCTGTGCTCTCCAAAAGCATTGTGGTGTTCACAGGCACGTCGCGTTGATTGGATCGCAAGATTTTGTGGCGCTGGTCACAGGCACGTCGTGATTGTCGGGTCGCAGGCGATTGTTTTTCGCAAGCGCACTGCGGTGTTTACGGGCATGTTGCGGCACCCCAGGCGCACCCCAGCCGTGGCGTGACCGGCGCGGCGTTAACCCCCCCCCCCGGTCACGCACGTGACCGGCCCGAATAAACCAAGGGCTCTTTCTAGTCCACGACAGGAGAGCCGAAAACAGTCCCCAGGCGGGATACACACGTGCCGGAATATGTCCGAGGCGGCCACGCAGAGTGTCAAAGTTCTTCCGATAGTTGTCAAGATCCATGACCTCCAGAAGGTCAAACAGAATCGAGTGTTTTCCAAAACTGTTCCTCCAGTTGGATGAGCTCCTGGCCTTGCAGAGCTCATGTGTAGCACATGATCCTCGAATGGGTGAGCGTGTTCGAGTTTGCAAACGCATCGAGGAATACGCACGCCAACCTTCACGCCTCCTGGGCCATGTGAGTGTTCGGTGGGATGTGGTGTCGATGTTGGTGTGCCCCATCACTTGGGGAGGCTGTGTCCTCTGGAACGTTTGGGGTCAATGTGGGGGGTCTCTTTGGTCCTCCTCGGGGGTCAGACACCTGCTGGGCCTTGCTTGGGGCCCTCTTGGTTCCTGTGCTGTTCTCTGTGTGGTTCGGCTTCCCTCTTGGCCTCGCTGGGGTTGTATGGCAGCCCCTTTTCCTGCAGGGACCTCCTCCAGCCCTGCTGGGGCAACACTGGTGCCAGTTGGAGCCGTGTCGGGGCCTAGTCGGGTGAGGGACCCCCGTGTACATGTGCGCGGAGCCCCATGGGTAGCTACGGAGCCCCATGAGCTTCCAAAGGCGGCTGCGTGGGGACCCCCATTAGGCCCCAACGGCCCCGGCATGTTCGACCCCATGGGGCGGCAACGGACTCGGAAACCCCACTGGGCTCCAGCGGCGACGGCGTGCGGATCCGTGGTAGCGACAGACAACGGCCCGACACCTGTCACCAAGGACCAGTTCCGTTGACAGCAGGCAGCGATCGCGTGAGTGCAGGCACGGTTTGACCAAGAGTTGGGCGTTGCCTGAAATTTCTGCCGATCGTATGTATACATATACATATGTGTATACATATATATATATATATATGTATCTATGTTGCGGTCTGCGTTTGGGGGGAACGGATCAATTTCGGCCAGATCTGGTACCCCAGAGGGGCCCAACACCCTGACGTTCCACGCTCTCGTCCCTGCGAACAACGCGCAACGCCCTCGTCGAGAAGTGTTGCCCGCGCTCACAGGGTCTTCTTAGGCGTTAGCCTGTCTGCGCTTTCTTTACGAGTCTTGAACGCCACCTCAGCCAATCCAAATCCACGTTGAAGCGACCTTGCGGATTGTGATGGGTCTTCTGGTCGCACATACCCACCTGTTGAGAACGATATTGGAAGTCCGTGGCAGGGGAATTGGGGGAGGGAGAGTGTCAGATTCTCACACGCCACCGCACCCCCCGGCAAGCGGGGGTCAGCGGATTTGGCTCCTGGCAAGGACGCGGAGTTCGGCGAGCACGTGGGGCGAGTGAGGGGCATCCTGGCCAACGGCTCCACCTTCGTGGAGTGCCCCGAGCTGAAGGCTCTGCACGGCCAGGACGCGTACAGTCGACAGTGATAGTAAGGATGAACGACTTCCCAGTGGGGTACCCTTGCCTCTTTGCGTCTTCGGTCATCTTCGGTCCACCCTCAACCACTTTTTGATGGCCAGCCCCATTCGAATAGCTTCGACATGGGCGTCCAGGGCCCTTGCATCCCTACCGTCGGGGCCCTGAAGAAGGAACCTTTCTCGTTGGGGAGGGGCTCCGCGTTCCTGATGTGTGTTCGCAGCTTGCCAGAGGTGTTCCTTATGTATTCGATCGGAAGTCGAAGGGGCCTCGTTCCTGATTTTGGGTTCCTTAGGTCAGGGCCCCGAGGAGGAGGAGGAGGAGGAGGAGGAGGAGGAGGAGGAGGACTGTATCGCCCGGTCGCAGTCCCTCCGCCGCCGTGTCCTGCCTCTGGCCCTCGCTCCTTCGCCTCTTCTGGGCGCCCCCGCTCGGCCCCGTGGCTGCCGGGGCGCTTGCGCTCTTGACTCCTGACCCACGCCCGAGGCAAGCACACAACAGAGCAAGATGAAACGGGAGCGAGAGAGAGAGAGAGAGAGAGCCCCAGGCGCTGTACGGCCAGGACGCCTACGTCCACAGCTCGGTGGTGGCGCAGTGCGCGCTGCAGACGGACGACGAGATCGCCTTCCGCGTGCACGTCAGCAGCCGGGGCCTGCCCCAGGTCTCGGCGCCCTGCTGGCGCAGAGCGCACGGCGCCGCGCTCCCCGCAGCGGCGGGCTCGGCGCCGGGGGTGGCTCCCGGCGAGGATCGGCGGCGAGCGAAGGGGGGGGGGAGTGAGAGCCCAGAGCCCCCTGGCGTTGTGCAAGAAATCCCGACGGGAGATGGTTTTCCCGACGGTCCACCTCCGGGGTCCCTCGCCTGGGCCTGGGGACCGTCTCAAGAAGCGACTCGGGAGGATGAACGCCCGTCCCGTGGAAGAGGCCCAGACCTCTGGGTGGCGACGTTGCAGACGAGTCACGACGTCGGGGACCTGGGCAGGAGACGAGGCTGTTGCAGGTGGGGTAAAGTCAGGAGGAGAAGAAACACACAGACATTATTAATCGTCGATCACCAGGAAAATATGGGAACATATGGGAAGTGTGGGGGGGGGAAGACACAAAACCCAGATCATATGAGAACATATGGGGAATATTTACCTAACAGCGAAGACTGATAGGTTTCTAGTGGTCTCAAAAGAGCTCACAGATCACTCCACAGGGGGGTCCGGGCAGGTGTTGGGGAGTTGCCGGGCGGCAGGGTGCCGGGCTCGTTTTTCACCAACAGTCACACACTTCGTGCTCTTCGACTTCCCAGAACTCCATTCCCAGGCCACATTCTGAATACCCGGATGCAACAGTCACACACTTCGTGCTCTTCGAGATCCCAGAACGCCATTCCCGGGCCACATTTAGAATAACCGGATGCAACAGTCACACACTTCGTGCTCTTCGAGTTCCCAGAACGCCATTCCCGGGCCACATTCTGGATGCCGGATGCAACAGTCACACACTTCGTGCTCTTCGAGTTCCCAGAATTCCATTCCCGGGCCACATTTTGGATGCCCGGAGCCAACTGTAGGCCACTTCGTGCTCTTCGAGTTCCCAGAACTCCATTCCCGGGCCACATTTTGAATGCCCGGAGCCAACTGTAGGCCACTTCGTGCTCTTCGAGTTCCCAGAACTCCATTCCCGGGCCACATTTTGAATGCCCGTAGCCAACTGTAGGCAACTTCGTGCTCTTCGACTTCCCAGAACTCCCATTCCTGGGCCACATTTTCAGCAGGGGCAAGAGCACGACGAGGAGGAGGACGAGCAAGACCAGGAGGACGAGGACGAGCAGGAGCAGGACAGGAGCAGGAGGAGCAGGAGAAGAAGGACGAGCAGGAGGAGGAGGAGGACGAGCAGGAGGAGGAGGACGACCAGGAGGAGGAGGACGACCAGGAAGAGGAGGAGGAGGAGGAGGGGAGGGGGAGGAGTACCAGGAGGAGGAGGAGGAGGAGGAGGAGGAGGAGGAGGAAGAGGAGGAGGAGGAGGAGGACGAGGACGAGAAGGAGGAGGAGGGGGGGGGGAGTACCAGGAGGAGGAGAACGAGGACCACCAGGAGGAGGAGGAGGGAGGAGGAGGAGGAGGAGGAGGAGGAGGAGAGAACACCAGGAGGAGGAGGACGAGCAAGACGAGGAGGACGAGAACGAGGACGACCAGGAGGAGGAGGAGGAGGAGGAGGGGAGGGGGAGGACTACCAGGAGGAGGAGGAGGAGGAGGAGGAGGAGGAGGAGGAAGAGGAGGAGGGAGGACGAGGAGGAGGAGGAGGAGGAGGACGAGGAGGAGGAGGGGGGGGGAGAGCACCAGGAGGAGGAGAACGAGGACCACCAGGAGGAGGAGGAGGAGGAGGAGGAGGAGGAGGAGGAGGAGAGAGCACCAGGAGGAGGAGGACGAGCAAGACGAGGAGGACGAGAACGAGGACGAGCAGGAGGAAGAGGAGGAGGAGGAGGAGGAGCAGGAGAAAGAGGAGGAGGAGGAGGCAGGCTGAGGCTGAGGCTGTGACTGCGACTGCCGTTGCCGCTGCGACTGTCATCGCGAATGCGACTACGACTGCGAGAACAGCAGAATTCGACAACTGGATTTTCATCTGAATCTTAAGGGGAATGCTTTCAGATATGCTTCTACACATCGCTGTTAGGTTGCTTTGCCGGGATAATTTTATTTGTGTGTATTTATTTGTGTGTTTGTGGGTCCCTTCATAAAGAGGGACCGCATGTTGAATGCGCAAGCCGCCCCCGCCCTGCCCCGCTTGCCGCCCGTGGCGGCGGCCTGTGCTTCGGTGTCTGCCCTTCTTCTTCTTCTTCTTCGGGCCTGGCTGTTCGAAGGCAGGCCAGGCCATGCTCCATGCTCGACTGGGCTACTCTATCCTGGAGCCCCCCCTACTGGCAGCGAGCGAGAGGGGGACGGGAAGTGAGAAGCAGAAGGCCTTCTCAGAAGGCGGCGGGACTTCTCGGAGGCCACCAGGAGGGCTTCGCAGAAACTTTTTCTGTGTCGCCAGGGATGGCTCAGAAGACTTCTCGGAATGTTGGAGGACTTCCGAGCCTTCCCAGGTCCAACCCCCGACGTCGTGATGTTTTCGCGAAGTCGACCCCCAGAGGTCTGGACCCCTTCCCCAGGAACGGTGCTTCACTCCGAGAGATGTCTTTTGACGGTCCCGAGGCCCAGCAAGGGCGCCTGGAGGCCGAAAATTGTGAACAAAAATCTCCCGTCGCGATGATTGTCGCAACGCGAGGGGGTCGAAGTTCTGAGAAGGCTCGCCCCATCGCCCTTCCGCCCCCGGGCTGGCCGCCGAGAGGCACGGCTCGAGCTAATCGGTTTTTGGGGGATTTCGTGGACCGTTTACGTGTTGATTCGTTTTGCAGCAAGGGTGCGACGACGACCGAGCCAGGGAGGGGACACGGAACACACAAATCGAACACGGAGAACACCTTTCAGCTCGAGCCTTGCAGAGCAGGGCTCGAGCTAAACTGCGTTTTGGCAATTTCGTGGACCGTTTTCGTTTTGGCTTCGTTCCGCAGCCAATGTGGAACGAAGACAGAACTAGGGATAACGAAAACAAAACGAAAACGGAAAACACCTTTCAGCTCGAGCCTTGCAAAGCCAGGGTGGGACGACGTTGTTCCGTTTTGCAGCCAGGGTGGGACGACGACCGAGCCAGGGAGGGACACGGAGCACACATCGAACACGGAACACGCCTTTCACCTCAAGCCCTGCAGAGGAGGAGGGCCCGCCCGCGAGGGCGGGGCCGAAGGCCCCCCTGGCCGAGGCCCCACCCTCGCTCGGCGGGCCGCCGGTGAAGCCCGCGCCGCCGCTGGGCGGCGGCCTCGCGCGGGTCCCTGCGCCGGCCCTGCCCGTGAGGCCACCGCCGCCGCTGGGCGGCAGGCCAGAGCTCCGAAGCACCGGCTGGGGGAACGTATCGACTGGACTTCTGTCGGGCGTGTCCCCCTACAAGAGGATTTTCGACGAAAAGTGAAACATACCCCCCCAAAATGCCCCGAATCACCGGCTGAGGGAACGTGTCGACTAGACTACAGGGGGATGTTCTACGAAAAATCAGAAATACCCCCAGAAATACACCAAAAAAGCAAAAAACAAAATATCAAAAAGTAGTCCCCAGACTATTTTTGAATTTTTGTTTGATTATTACCTAACAGCGAAGACTGATAGGTTTCTAGTGGTCTCAAAAGAGCTCACAGATCACTCCACAGGGGGGTCCGGGCAGGTGTTGGGGAGTTGCCGGGCGGCAGGGTGCCGGGCTCGTTTTTCACCAACAGTCACACACTTCGTGCTCTTCGACTTTCCAGAACTCCATTCCCAGGCCACATTCTGAATACCCGGATGCAACAGTCACACACTTCGTGTTCTTCGAGATCCCAGAACGCCATTCCCGGGCCACATTTAGAATAACCGGATGCAACAGTCACACACTTCGTGCTCTTCGAGTTCCCAGAACGCCATTCCCGGGCCACATTTATAATAACCGGATGCAACAGTCACACACTTCGTGCTTTTCGAGTTCCCAGAATTCCATTCCCGGGCCACATTTTGGATGCCCGGAGCCAACTGTAGGCCACTTCGTGCTCTTCGAGTTCCCAGAACTCCATTCCCGGGCCACATTTTGAATGCCCGGAGCCAACTGTAGGCCACTTCGTGCTCTTCGAGTTCCCAGAACTCCATTCCCGGGCCACATTTTGAATGCCCGTAGCCAACTGTAGGCAACTTCGTGCTCTTCGACTTCCCAGAACTCCCATTCCTGGGCCACATTTTCAGCAGGGGCAAGAGCACGACGAGGAGGAGGACGAGCAAGACCAGGAGGACGAGGACGAGCAGGAGCAGGACGAGGAGCAGGAGGAGCAGGAGAAGAAGGACGAGCAGGAGGAGGAGGAGGACGAGCAGGAGGAGGAGGACGACCAGGAGGAGGAGGACGACCAGGAAGAGGAGGAGGAGGAGGAGGAGGGGAGGGGGAGGAGTACCAGGAGGAGGAGGAGGAGGAGGAGGAGGAGGAGGAGGAGGAGGAGGAGGAGGAGGACGAGGACGAGGAGGAGGAGGAGGGGGGGGGAGAGTACCAGGAGGAGGAGAACGAGGACCACCAGGAGGAGGAGGAGGAGGAGGAGGAGGAGGAGGAGGAGAGAACACCAGGAGGAGGAGGACGAGCAAGACGAGGAGGACGAGAACGAGGACGACCAGGAAGAGGAGGGAGGAGGAGGAGGAGGGGAGGGGGAGGACTACCAGGAGGAGGAGGAGGAGGAGGAGGAGGAGGAGGAAGAGGAGGAGGAGAGGGAGGAGGAGGAGGAGGAGGACGAGGAGGAGGAGGGGGGGGGAGAGCACCAGGAGGAGAGAACGAGGACCACCAGGAGGAGGAGGGAGGAGGAGGAGGAGAGCACCAAGGAGGAGGACGAGCAAGACGAGGAGGACGAGAACGAGGACGAGCAGGAGGAAGAGGAGGAGGAGGAGAGAGGAGGAGGAGGAGGAGGAGGCAGGCTGAGGCTGAGGCTGTGACTGCGACTGCCGTTGCCGCTGCGACTGTCATCGCGAATGCGACTACGACTGCGAGAACAGCAGAATTCGACAACTGGATTTTCATCTGAATCTTAAGGGGAATGCTTTCAGATATGCTTCTACACATCGCTGTTAGGTTGCTTTGCCGGGATAATTTTTGGGGTATCTTTTTATTTTTCGTCGAAAATCCTCCTGTAGGGGGACAGGCCCGACTTCAGACTAGACGTGAGAGTGACCCTTCGCCGGAGTGGCCTCTGGTGCCAGCACAGCGGGGTCCCCCGATCCCCGAGCGCGATGCGACAGCAGCGTCTTGCGCGCCTGTGTTTGGTCCCCCCGCGGCCCCCAAGAAGCCGCGCACCAGAGGTCGCTCTTATACCCAGGGTCACTCTTTTGCGTGCAGTCGAACGTAAGGCTCGAGTGTGCCAGAACCGTCCAAAAACGACTCCGGAGGAATGCCAACCTCTGGGGGTTGACGGTGTGAAGAATAAGATCGGGGGCGGACAGAACCCCCAACAGTGACACGTCGATCAGCGAATTGTCCGTTATCGGCTCTCGAGAGGGCGCCAGGTTTGGGCCTCAGGTCGTTTTCACCAAACCACGTTTTACTAAAGGGAGGTCTGTCCATCCCCGAAATAAACACGACGTCGGGGGTCTGGGGCCACGCGTCGAGCCCGGGCGTCCGCCGCGTCGAGGTGCCTCTGGAGCCCTCGCGCGCGGGCCAGCTCGCAGAGCTTGGCGTGCGCCCAGTGCGCCGGGGTCGGCGGCCCCCCGCCCAGATCGTGGAAGTGTAAGGCTCGAGAGTGCGCCGGATCTCGGGTTTGCCTGCGCTTTTCGACGGTCCAGTTTTCTCGGGATGCCTGTAGCGGCAGCTTGCGTTAAAATTTCAGAGAGGGTCTCGTCATTTTCATGATGGCCCCGTCAGGCCAACCCGAGTCCCCCGAGCCCCAGTCTTACGTCTTCCCGAATTGGGGCTGCGGGTGGTCAGGGGTAGCCACAGGTTCGCGAGTCGGGGGTCCAAACTGGAGTTGCCTGGGACCGCAGCTATCCTGAGTAATCAGGGCGCCCAACTTTCCCGAATCATCGAAGCGGGGGGCGGTCAGGGGGAGCTGCAGATATGCGCCTCGGGGGCCCACACCGGAGTTACCCCGGACCGCAGTTCTCCTGGATAAGTTGCACAGGCTTCGCGATGAAGCAGACGGGTCCTGAGGGAAGCGGGCTGTTGGGCTACCCGCCCCTTGTTCGTCTGGTCTGGCCGTCCGCGGGCCCCTGAGACCGCCAGGGACCGGCTCGGGGCGGCGCATGATGGTCCCGGGGGAGGGCCCGAGGGCCAGGATCCGCTTGCCTCGGGATCCACTTCTGTCGCGCCGCAGGCAGGAGGCGCTGGTGGGGCCGCCTTTGATCCGGAAGGCGCCGCCCGCGAAGTTTGCGCGCTAGGCTGCGGGGCTGAGGCGCCCAGCACTGCCCGTGAGGCCCCCGCCCCCGCCGGGCGGCAGGCGGGTGGCGCCGGCAGCGCCGCCGCGGACCAGGAAGGCCGCGCCTGCACCGTGTGCGCGCCAGGCGTTAGGGTCGAGGGAGCTGTGCAGGGCGTTGGCCTGCAGGCTGGACGGGCCCCATTGAGCCTTCGGATGCCTTCGGGTTCGTTTATGGCTCGTGGGAGGTCTCGTCACGCCTGGTCAGTCGGGCTGCGACTAGCCAGGAGGCGGACGATCCAGAAGTTCCGAGGCCGTGCGCTAGACAGGGGTCAGCGGTACCGTTGGCGTGGGTAACGTAGGGGGTCTTTCCCGTGCGCTCGCTCTGAAGGAAAGCCAAAACATGAGTGTGAGAGTGAGCGTCCTGGGCCAATTGGAGACGACAGTTCAAGGGATCAGTCACCACGGTGGTGCTCGCTTTTTCATGACACTCCGGCACATCTGGCATACCACGGGGAAGCATCCCACTTTCGTATTGTCACAGTGCTCCCGAAGCAGCCTGTTAGACAGGCTGCGAAGCCCCCAACCGCTGGTTCAGGAACCTGTTCAAACCTCAAGTCAGGCTGCTATACCTCAGCACTGGGTCGAACTGGTTTCCGGTCTCTCAGCCCGTCCTTCGCGACGCCAGCAGCGCCTCGCAGTCTGCAGGTTGCGCGCAGGGAGCGATCGGGGTGACCCCGCGCCTCACGCCTCGCGGCCCGGGCAGGAGCGTAGCTGTGCTCCAGACGCGGCGACGCGATTGCACGAGAGGGCCAGAGAGCGGAGCGCACACGACGTGGACGTGGCGCGCCTGGGCAGGAGCCGGCCGGACACGCATGGCCCTGGTTGTCTCGGCAGCGCGTGGCCCTCCGAGGGCCGCGCGAGGCCGGGCTCTCGCACGTGTGTGTATCCAGAGCGTTCCGCATGCGAGGCCAGCCATGTATGCATCTGTGTGTTTGTGTGCGTGTGTTCTTGGCGCGCCGATCACGGCAACACCATTCCATTTTCCCTGTGGGACCGCGCCCCCTCATCCAGTCCATGGCGCAACTTGTCCTGTGCAAGTTCTTCGGCGCCGCCTGTTTTCTGAGCCCTCTGGCCGCCTGAGGCCCCGCCCGCCCGCGCCCTGTCTCCCTAATTAGGGCTCCCCGCGTCCCGTTTAGCTCTTGACCGGAAGGGGCCCGCTCCCGACCCGCCGACCAAAAAAGTGTTTGTGTGCGTGTGTGTTCCAGCCACGTGTGTACCACACTCTGGGCGAGAGGCTGGGCTCGCGGGGCCGCTCCTAGTCCTCCTCCTCGCACCCCCATGCCCCTCCCCCTTCCGCCCTCAGTTCCCCGCCTGCCTTTTCTCCTAACCTTTATCTTTGACGATCCATCCTTCACGAGCGCCGCCTTCAGGGATGGGAAAGCCCATGTGCCATGTTTCTACCCATGGCATCAGCAGTACACCGCAATCCTCCCTACTCTTTCTCCGACTACTCCGCCCAGGCTCCCTCTGGACTGCTTCTCCTCCCGCTCCACCAGGCTCGAGAACGGCTCCTAATGGAGGATGACGATTGATAAATGACCGGGGGTCGTGTTCATGGCGGCGCCAGGGATGACGATTAGAAAAAACCAGCCGCGGGTTGGAAAACTATTTTTCCCAACCGTCCTGTGGTGTTGGGTCCTCGTTTTGAAGAGACGGTGCCCCGCGTTTTCCCTCCTTCCTTCCTCCCGCTGCCTCCTCCCCCTCCCATCATCATCATCATCATCATCATCATCATCATCATCATCATCATCATCAACACCCATTTCGGCACACCCCTCACACGTTTCGTGGCTCCATAGGGAGCTCCACCGAAGGCCCCAGTGCCCGCGGCCGCATGCGTCCCCCACACCCATTTCGGCACACCCCTCACACGTTTCGTGGCTCCATAGGGAGCTCCACCGAAGGCCCCAGTGCCCGCGGCCGCATGCGTCCCCCACACCCATTTCGGCACACCCCTCACACGTTTCGTGGCTCCATAGGGAGCTCCACCGAAGGCCCCAGTGCCCGCGGCCGCATGCGTCCCCCACACCCATTTCGGCACACCCCTCACACGTTTCGTGGCTCCATAGGGAGCTCCACCGAAGGCCCCAGTGCCCGCGGCCGCATGCGTCCCCACACCCATTTCGGCACACCCCTCACACGTTTCGTGGCTCCATAGGGAGCGGCCCCACCGCATGCCCCCACACCCATTTCGGCACACCCCTCACACGTTTCGTGGCTCCATAGGGAGCTCCACCGAAGGCCCCAGTGCCCGCGGCCGCATGCGTCCCCCACACCCATTTCGGCACACCCCTCACACGTTTCGTGGCTCCATAGGGAGCTCCACCGAAGGCCCCAGTGCCCGCGGCCGCATGCGTCCCCCACACCCATTTCGGCACACCCCTCACACGTTTCGTGGCTCCATAGGGAGCTCCACCGAAGGCCCCAGTGCCCGCGGCCGCATGCGTCCCCCACACCCATTTCGGCACACCCCTCACACGTTTCGTGGCTCCATAGGGAGCTCCACCGAAGGCCCCAGTGCCCGCGCCGCATGCGTCACCCACACCCATTTCGGCACACCCCTCACACGTTTCGTGGCTCCATAGGGAGCTCCACCGAAGGCCCCAGTGCCCGCGGCCGCATGCGTCCCCCACACCCATTTCGGCACACCCCTCACACGTTTCGTGGCTCCATAGGGAGCTCCACCGAAGGCCCCAGTGCCCGCGGCCGCATGCGCCCCCCACACCATTTCGGCACACCCCTCACACGTTTCGTGGCTCCATAGGGAGCTCCACCGAAGGCCCCAGTGCCCGCGGCCGCATGCGTCCCCCACACCCATTTCGGCACACCCCTCACACGTTTCGTGGCTCCATAGGGAGCTCCACCGAAGGCCCCAGTGCCCGCGGCCGCATGCGTCCCCACACCCATTTCGGCACACCCCTCACACGTTTCGTGGCTCCATAGGGAGCTCCACCGAAGGCCCCAGTGCCCGCGGCCGCATGCGTCACCCCCACCCATTTCGGCACCCCCCCCGCATTTCTCGCACGGCAGGGTCATCACCACGGTGGCGTGCCAGGGGCGCACCATGCGCGAAGGCGACGGGGCGGGGGAACGGCGCTCCGGGGGCGGCCAGACCTCCGGGGCGCGAGCAGTCCGCGGCCAGACCATCTCTCGGTCCTGTGGACTCTCGCCCTGGGCCGTCGGCTGCCCGGCGCGCTGCTCCCTCGGTCGACGTCGCCCAGGCGTGATCCTGGATTGCGGCCGCCACGAGGTAGGGAACGGCAAGAAGGAGGACGACGACTGGTGGCTGGAGCTCTACGTGCTGCTCTCGCGCGCCACGCGCCACGAGGACCTCCTGCTCATGCGGGCGCCGCGCATCGAGTTCTTCCTGGCAGGGCCGCCGCAGGGCTTGCGGAAGCAGCTGGAGCAGTTTGCGGCGCGCACGAAGCGGTGCAGGAGGGAAGCGACGGCCCTCGCCAGGGAGCTCGGCTTCACCGAGTTCATCCGCGAGGCCTGACCTGAGGAGCGTCTCCCCCGAGCCGCGCCTTCTCTCGACTGCCCGACTAATTGTTTGGCCTCGCGCCGCGGACGACCCGCGCGCGTCGCTGGGACCCTCTCGGGGCGACCAGCGCGCGTCGCGGGAACTCCGTGCTGCGGGGGGCCCGGCGCCTCGTTCGCCCGTCGTCGCTCTGCCCAGCGGTCAGAGACTTGCCCGCTATCAGCCAGCCAGTTAGCTAGTCAGCTCTCTCTGCTTCGCGCAGCGGACGACCCGCGCGCGTCGCTGGGACCCCGCCCGGGGCGACCAGCGCGCGTCGCGGGGACTCCGCGCTGCGCTGCGCCCGCAGCCTTGGATTTTGGAGTGCGCGGGCAAAGAGGAAGGAAAAGAAGAGCCGAAAGCGGGCGCGATCCTCGCAAGAGGCGTGCCGACATGGGCGTCGCGACGTGCGGGCGCTGCCGTCGGGGTTCCCGCGGAAGCTGCCTGCGGCGGCCACGCCCAGTGTCACGTGTGTTCGGACAGGCATGCTCGACACTTACACTAGGCGGTTCCATGATCGCACTCATGCAAATGTATTCACTCGCGCGCAGACCCATTCATACTCATATTCCCTCGCGCTCTGACTCACCCGCGTTCTTTCTTTCGTAATCAGATCAATCGTAATCCTTTGCGTTGTGTACCCCGCCACACTTCGGCACACCCCTCATGCGGTTCGTGGCCCCATAGGGAGCGCCACCGAAGAAGATATTCCCAATTGCGATACTCACAACTGCATATGGTTGGCTCCTTCGCCAGGATAATTAAACCTCTTCTCCTCCAGCCAGAAAATTGTGCAGAAATCGCAGAAAACTATTTGTTACCTAGCAGCGAAGACTGATAGGTTTCTAATGGGCTAAAAAGAAAGCAGCAGATGACTCCACAGGGGGGTCTGGGCGGGTGCCGGACAGGGTGCCGCAGAAGTCGTTTTAATTCAACAGTCACACACTTCGTGCTCTTCGAGTTCCCAGAACTCCATTCCCGGGCCACATTCTGAATGCCCGGAGCCAACTGTAGGCCACTTCGTGCTCTTCGAGTTCCCAGAACTCCATTCCCGGGCCACATTTTGAATGCCCGGAGCCAACTGTAAGCCACTTCGTGGTCTTCGAGTTCCCAGAACTCCATTCCCGGGCCACATTTTGAATGCCCGGAGCCAACTGTAGGCCACTTCGTGCTCTTCGAGTTCCCAGAACTCCATTCCCGGGCCACATTTTGAATGCCCGGAGCCAACTGTAGGCCACTTCGTGCTCTTCGAGTTCCCAGAACTCCATTCCCGGGCCACATTTTGAATGCCCGGAGCCAACTGTAGGCCACTTCGTGCTCTTCGACTTCCCAGAACTTCCTTTCCCTGGGCCACATTTTGAATGCTGAGGCAGGCTGATGCTGCGGCGAGGCAGGCTGGCAGGCTGAGGCTGAGGCGAGGCTGAGGCTGAGGCTGAGGCCGAGGCTGAAGGCAGGCTGACTGAGGCTGAGGCTGAAGCAGGCTGAGGCTGAGGCTGAGGCTGAGGCTGAGGCAGGCTGAGGCTGCTGAGGCAGGCTGAGGCTGAGGCTGAGGCTGAGGCTGAGGCTGAGGCTGAGGCTGCAGGCTGAGGCTGAGGCAGGCTGAGGCTGAGGCCGAGGCTGAAGGCAGACTGAGGCTGAGGCTGAAGCAGGCTGAGGCTGAGGCTGAGGCAGGCTGAGGCTGAGGCAGGCTGAGGTTGAGGCTGAGGCAGGCTGAGGTTGAGGCTGTGACTGCGACTGCCGTTGCCGCTGCGACTGTCATCGCGAATGCGACTACGGCTGC